AATGAAACTTGATGTGTGAAAATATTTTGAAAAATTAATTTTCTTGCTTGCACAAAACAATGGCACTATTGTCTGTGGAAATAAGACAAATTAGACACTGATTAAATGAAAGAATATGAACACAAAAAATGTTCAACACAGAGAAAAATGAATTAAACTGGCAAGACTACACAAATGCTGGGATAAAAATGTAACAGACAACACTGAGTTGTGATGCAGAATACAAGGTAATAAATTACTGAATTACTTCACTGGAATACTGAGAACACTAGGTGATTCTGAAGTGTAAACACAAATTCTATACTGCTTATATGTTGCACGCACAACAAAGGAAAAACACTAAGGTACTTACTTCAAGTGTATAAAAAAAAAAGAAACACAACACAACAGACATAAGATAATGCACAGAAATTAACACTGAATTAAGAAGAGAAAAAAAATATATTGCAAACAGGATATAATAAACACTGAGTCTAATCGAGAGTCACTGAATGTCACTAAGAAATCACTGGAAACGCAAAAAGAAATGTCTCAACACTCGCAAATGTCTCTATGAAAAATATTTTCACTGTAACGACTTGGTGAAGAATGAGGTGGAAGGTGGTGGAGGTGGTGAAGGATTGTTTATGTCGTCTTGCGGCTGGCTGCTGTCCTCTGCACATGTAATCGTAGAATTTGCGCTTACATCGACGATAGACTTCACACAGGAGGCTTTTAATGGTGGCGCGAAACACACACTAGCTCTTGACCCCCTATGTGGTCCTTAAAATATGGTGCTGGAACCCGTAGTAGTGTACCAAAACAATGGTAGAGGTTGGGTGAGTGGGTTAATGGCTGAGTGAGGCGGCTGGGGCCGGTGTCGAGTGGTTGGGTGGGTGGGCTGAAACAGGGCTAAGGCCGAGACCGCGTGGTAATTGGGTCTATGGGATGAAGGGCGTAAGCCTCACTGAGAACACCCTCACTGGCACAAAGATATTTCTAAGCCGACTGGCTTAAAAACAAATCCACAAAATACCACAACACCACAGGGATGAAAAAAACACTCAGAATGGCTTGAAGCACAAAGCGATGAGAAGACTGTACCCACGTGGCTTGCTTGAGTACTGGGTTAGTTGCTGGCTGGCTTATCTTAACCCTTCACACAGAATAGCTTGATAACTTCTAACGATGAGCACAGCAGGGGTGGAAAGCTGGCTTGGCAGGCAAAGCTGGATGGTGTGGCTAGGCTGACTGACTGGGTTGTTCTGACTCCCCCACCACAGACTGTCTTACTGGCTTATTTTGCAAACTCGGGTCAACCCCTCGGGAGTGATGCAAAAAAGCAGATAAGCACTAATACAAAGAGACTCACAAGTGAATAATGTAGTGGCTGGTAGATGCTTGAAAGAGGTAGCTGGCTTGGCTAGGTCGGCCTACTGGCGACACGAAATGGCAGTCTTGCTGGTCGAAAGAAATCTCCATACATCGGCATAATTATCAATTTTACGCCCACACCACTGCCACCAAATTGTTGTGTGGGGGTTCGATAAGGAGATAAGAGGGTTGAAGGTAGACACCTTGTTGGATGGTAACACTATATATTGTCACTGTGGTAATGGGAGATGGGGCCCAACCTGCTGTGTCCTGCCTTCTATTATGCCTATAGAAGCTGGGGGGAGGCAGCTTGTCTTACTCGCACGCTGCATCCCGTGACGTCATACAGTCACAGGCCTAAGGGATCTTCTATATAAACACATGGATGGTACTATGATACGCTATACAACATATATAAGGGGATCAGCAACTATGCTGACACTTGCTCTGCATGCTGACATTACATGTGACTGACAATCTAGACCCATCTTGTTCTGCATGCTGACATTACTTGTGACTGACAATCTAGACCCATCTTGCTCTGCATGCTGACATTACATGTGACTGACAATCTAGACCCATCTTGCTCTGCATGCTGACATTACTTGTGACTGACAATCTAGACCCATCTTGCTCTGCATGCTGACATTACATGTGACTGACAATCTAGACCCATCTTGCTCTGCATGCTGACATTACATGTGACTGACAATCTAGACCCATCTTGCTCTGTATGCTGACATTACTTGTGACTGACAATCTAGACCCATCTTGCTCTGTATGCTGACATTACTTGTGACTGACAATCTAGACCCATCTTGCTCTGCATGCTGACATTACTTGTGACTGACAATCTAGACCCATCTTGCTCTGCATGCTGACATTACTTGTGACTGACAATCTAGACCCCTCTTGCTCTGCATGCTGACATTACATGTGACTGACAATCTAGACCCATCTTGCTCTGCATGCTGACATTACATGTGACTGACAATCTAGACCCATCTTGCTCTGCATGCTGACATTACTTGTGACTGACAATCTAGACCCATCTTGCTCTGCATGCTGACATTACATGTGACTGACAATCTAGACCCATCTTGCTCTGCATGCTGACATTACATGTGACTGACAATCTAGACCCATCTTGCTCTGCATGCTGACATTACTTGTGACTGACAATCTAGACCCATCTTGCTCTGTATGCTGACATTACTTGTGACTGACAATCTAGACCCATCTTGCTCTGTATGCTGACATTACATGTGACTGACAATCTAGACCCATCTTGCTCTGCATGCTGACATTACTTGTGACTGACAATCTAGACCCATCTTGCTCTGTATGCTGACATTACTTGTGACTGACAATCTAGACCCATCTTGCTCTGCATGCTGACATTACATGTGACTGACAATCTAGACCCATCTTGCTCTGCATGCTGACATTACTTGTGACTGACAATCTAGACCCATCTTGCTCTGCATGCTGACATTACTTGTGACTGACAATCTAGACCCATCTTGCTCTGTATGCTGACATTACATGTGACTGACAATCTAGACCCATCTTGCTCTGCATGCTGACATTACTTGTGACTGACAATCTAGACCCATCTTGCTCTGCATGCTGACATTACTTGTGACTGACAATCTAGACCCATCTTGCTCTGCATGCTGACATTACTTGTGACTGACAATCTAGACCCATCTTGCTCTGCATGCTGACATTACATGTGACTGACAATCTAGACCCATCTTGCTCTGCATGCTGACATTACATGTGACTGACAATCTAGACCCATCTTGCTCTGCATGCTGACATTACTTGTGACTGACAATCTAGACCCATCTTGCTCTGCATGCTGACATTACATGTGACTGACAATCTAGACCCATCTTGCTCTGCATGCTGACATTACATGTGACTGACAATCTAGACCCATCTTGCTCTGCATGCTGACATTACTTGTGACTGACAATCTAGACCCATCTTGCTCTGTATGCTGACATTACTTGTGACTGACAATCTAGACCCATCTTGCTCTGTATGCTGACATTACTTGTGACTGACAATCTAGACCCATCTTGCTCTGCATGCTGACATTACTTGTGACTGACAATCTAGACCCATCTTGCTCTGCATGCTGACATTACATGTTTAAGTTATTGCTGATGTCTAAAGTTACAAACAATGGTGTTAGTTCATGCTGGTATTAAAAGTGTTAGTTGATGCTGGTATTAAAAGTGTTAGCTCATGTTGGTATTAAAAGTGTTAGTTCATGCTGGTATTAAAAGTGTTAGTTGATGCTGGTATTAAAAGTGTTAGTTGATGCTGGTATTAAAAGTGTTAGTTGATGCTGGTATTAAAAGTGTTAGTTGATGCTGGTATTAAAAGTGTTAGTTGATGCTGGTATTAAAAGTGTTAGTTGATGCTGGTATTAAAAGTGTTAGTTCATGCTGGTATTAAAAGTGTTAGTTCATGCTGGTATTAAAAGTGTTAGTTCATGATGGTATTAAAAGTGTTAGTTCATGTTGGTATTAAAAGTGTTAGTTCATGTTGGTATTAAAAGTGTTAGTTCATGTTGGTATTAAAAGTGTTAGTTCATGTTGGTATTAAAAGTGTTAGTTCATGCTGGTATTAAAAGTGTTAGTTCATGTTGGTATTAAAAGTGTTAGTTCATGTTGGTATTAAAAGTGTTAGTTCATGTTGGTATTAAAAGTGTTAGTTCATGTTGGTATTAAAAGTGTTAGTTCATGTTGGTATTAAAAGTGTTAGTTCATGTTGGTATTAAAAGTGTTAGTTCATGCTGGTATTAAAAGTGTTAGTTCATGCAGTGTTAGTTCATGCTGGTATTAAAAGTGTTAGTTCATGCTGGTATTAAAAGTGTTAGTTCATGCTGGTATTAAAAGTGTTAGTTCATGCTGGTATTAAAAGTGTTAGTTCATGATGGTATTAAAAGTGTTAGTTCATGTTGGTATTAAAAGTGTTAGTTCATGTTGGTATTAAGTGTTAGTTCATGTTGGTATTAAAAGTGTTAGTTCATGTTGGTATTAAAAGTGTTAGTTCATGTTGGTATTAAAAGTGTTAGTTCATGCTGGTATTAAAAGTGTTAGTTCATGCTGGTATTAAGTGTTAGTTCATGCTGGTATTAAAAGTGTTAGTTCATGCTGGTATTAAAAATATTAGTTCATGCTGGTATTAAAAGTGTTAGTTCATGCTGGTATTAAAAGTGTTAGTTCATGCTGGTATTAAAAGTGTTAGTTCATGCTGGTGTTAAAAGTGTTAGTTCATGCTGGTATTAAAAGTGTTAGTTCATGCTGGTGTTAAAAAGTGTTAGTTCATGCTGGTATTAAAAGTGTTAGTTCATGCTGGTATTAAAAGTGTTAGTTCATGCTGGTATTAAAAGTGTTAGTTCATGCTGGTATTAAAAGTGTTAGTTCATGCTGGTATTTAAATAGTTCATGCTGGTATTAAAAGTGTTAGTTCATGTTGGTATTAAGTGTTAGTTCATGTTGGTATTAAAAGTGTTAGTTCATGCTGGTATTAGAAGTGTTAGTTCATGTTGGTATTAAGTGTTAGTTCATGTTGGTATTAAAGCTGACAGTTGCTGTTAATAATTGTTATTGTCTTGGCCTGCTGCCCAGATTCAAGAGATGCAACAGAGGATAAGCCACCTGCAACAACAGCAGCAGCAACAGCAGCAGCAGCAGAAGACAACAACAGAGGTACAGCAGACACAGACACAGTACATGCATCAGGCACGTCAAGGAATGATCAATGTAAGTGACTATCTCTGACTACTTGTTCCAGCAGCTAGCAAGGTATGTGGGCTGCTAGCACTAACAGCCTGGTCGATCAGACTTGCTGTGGGGAAACCTGCACCTTGCCTGCTGTCTTGCAATTATACAGTCTAGAAACTGGTCAGACATGATTGGTGCGCACATGGTGGTAGCTTAAGGGACTGATTGACCAGGCTGTTGGTGTTAGCTACTTCCACAACCTTTCTAATAATAAGAAACTAACTTGAACTAAAAGGTTCATATTTGAAGACAGTTCTCTTGGTAATTCCCTTTATACATTAAGGAAGTATTGAAAAGTCATGGTCTCCTTACATTTAGTCATCTCTCAGTGTACTCATGACAGACTTCTCATTGAGGGCATTTAACACCATTGTCATAATGTTACTTCAGTACAAGTTTGGCTACATTCTCAGAATTTTCATTGTAGATTATAATGTATCTCTGGTGCCTAGGTTGCCAGGAGCACAGATGGAGGGATATTAAGTTATTATAATGTATCTCTGGTGCCTAGGTTGCCAGGAGCATAGATGGAGGGATATTAACAGCTATTATAATGTATCTGGTGCCTAGGTTGCCAGGAGCACAGATGGAGGGATATTAACAGTTATTATTATGTATCTCTGGTGTCTAGGTTGCCAGGAGCACAGATGGAGGGATATTAACAGTTATTATAATGTATCTCTGGTGCCTAGGTTGCCAGGAGCATAGATGGAGGGATATTAACAGTTATTATAATGTATCTCTGGTGCGTAGGTTGCCAGGAGCATAGATGGAGGGATATTAACAGTTATTATAATGTATCTCTGGTGCCTAGGTTGCCAGGAGCATAGATGGAGGGATATTAACAGCTATTATAATGTATCTCTGGTGCCTAGGTTGCCAGGAGCATAGATGGAGGGATATTAACAGTTATTATAATGTATCTCTGGTGCGTAGGTTGCCAGGAGCATAGATGGAGGGATATTAACAGTTATTATAATGTATCTCTGGTGCCTAGGTTGCCAGGAGCATAGATGGAGGGATATTAACAGTTATTATAATGTATCTCTGGTGTCTAGGTTGCCAGGAGCATAGATGGAGGGATATTAAGTTATTATAATGTATCTCTGGTGCCTAGGTTGCCAGGAGCATAGATGGAGGGATATTAACAGTTATTATAATGTATCTGGTGCCTAGGTTGCCAGGAGCACAGATGGAGGGATATTAACAGTTATTATAATGTATCTCTGGTGTCTAGGTTGCCAGGAGCAAGATGGAGGGATATTAACAGTATTATATGTATCTAGTGCCTAGGTTGCAAGCATAGATGAGGGATTAATTAACAGTTTTATAATGTATCTCTGGTGCGTAGGTTCCAGAGAAGATGAGTGGTATTAAAGTATTTAATGTATCCTGATGATAGGTTGCAGGAGCTAGATGAGGAATTACAAGTATTAAATGTATCTGTTTAGCGTTGCCAGGAGCTAGATGGAGGGTATTAATTGTTATTTATAATTATCCTTGGTGAGTAGGTTGCAGGAGCATGATGTGGGATCCTTAAAGCTTATCATATGTATCTTTGTGCATAGGTTCAGGAGCACATGATGGACGGATACTTAAACAGTTTTATATGTTCTGATGGTGACCTAGGTTGCCAGGAAGCACAGATGGGGATTAGACATGTTGTTATAATGTATCTCTGGTGCTAGGTGCCAGGAGCAAGATGGCGGGATTTAACCAGTTATTATAATGTATCTTGGTCTAGGTGCCAGGACAAATGGTTGGGATATTAACAGCTTATAATGTTTCTGAGTGCCTGGTTGCAGGAGCAAGATGTAGTGATATTAAAGCTATTATAATGTATTCTGGTGTCTAGGTGCAGGAGCAAGATGAGGATCATTAGTTATTGAGTGAGGTACAGCATGAACTTGTCTGTACAATCACCATTTGATTGTTTTAGGTGTTGTTGTGTACACAATATTACATGTTAGGGAAAGTCCTTAGAATGTCATTATTAGCTTGGTATCTCTCGAAGGTTTTTGTTATCCAGTCTATCATTTTCCTTGTTGTGATAGTAACACTGTTGTGATCCTTGAAGCTTACACCATTGTTAGTATGTTGTGATAGTAACACTGTTGTGATCCTTGAAGCTTACACCATTGTTAGTATGTTGTGATAGTAACACTGTTGTGATCCTTGAAAGCTTACACCATTGTTAGTATGTTGTGATAGTAACACTTGTGACCTGAAGCTTACACCATTGTTAGTATGTTGTGATAGTAACACTGTTGGATTCCTTGAAGCTTATCACCATTGTTAGCTATGTTGTGATAGTACAACACTGTTGTGATCTTGAAGCTTTACACCATTGTTACTATGTTGTGGTAGGTAACACTGTTGTGACTTGAAGCTTACACCATTGTTAGTATGTTGTGATAGTAACACTGTTGTGATCCTTGAACTTTTAACACTGTTGTATATGTTGTGATAGTAACCTGTTGTGATCTTGAAGCTTACACCATTGTAGTATTTGTGATATGTAACATCTTTTGTGATCCTAAGCTTAACATTGTTACTATGTTGTGATAGTAACACTGTTGTGATCCTTGAAGCTTACACCATTGTTAGTATGTTGTGATAGTAACACTGTTGTGATCCTTGAAGCTTACACCATTGTTACTATGTTGTGATAGTAACACTGTTGTGATCCTTGAAGCTTACACCATTGTTAGTATGTTGTGATAGTAACACTGTTGTGATCCTTGAAGCTTACACCATTGTTAGTATGTTGTGATAGTAACACTGTTGTGATCCTTGAAGCTTACACCATTGTTACTATGTTGTGATAGTAACACTGTTGTGATCCTTGAAGCTTACACCATTGTTACATTGTATCTTAAATGATTCAGTAACAGTAACTTGTCCTTTATAAAGATCATAACATCTGAGTGGCACTGGAAGATTGTGTCCTCATGTCACTGGAATATTGTTTTATACTGTTGTAGGTTATCTGTCCAAGTGGTCACTGGAGATTGTTTATATAGCTGGAGTTCTTGTGTCTCAGTGGTCCACTGGAAGATTGTTTATATAAGCGAGGTCGTTTTCATCATGGTCCATGGAAGATTTTATATCTTAGAAGGTTTATTGTGTCCTCAGTGGTCCACTGGAAGATTGTTTATATATGCTGGAAGGTTCGTTGTGTCCTCAGTGGTCCACTGGAAGATTGTTTATATATGCTGGAAGGTTCGTTGTGTCCTCAGTGGTCCACTGGAAGATTGTTTATATCAAGTTACATTTACCTAGCAGGTACTAGTGACCTGTAGATCAACACAGGCCACAGGTAGATAAACACAGGTCACTGGCGATGAAGGAAGGGCAGGTGAAGGTGTGATCAAGGAAGTATTGAAAGGTAAGAGGGAGGGTAGAAGGATAAGATGGAAGGTAGAAGGGTAAGAGAGAGGGTAAAAGGGTAAGAGGGAGGGTAGAAGGAAGGGAGGGAGGGTAGCCACAAGAGTATTGATTTGTGGCATCCATGGAGGTTCCCACCAACCCAGCCCACCCTCAACCTAGCCCACCCTCAACCTAGCCTACCCTCAACCTAGCCTACCCTCAACCTAGCCTACCCTCAACCTAGCCCACCCTCAACCTAGCCCACCCTCAACCTACCACCCTCAACCATAGCCCACCTCAACCTAGCCTACCCTCACTACCTACCTAACCTAGCCACCCTCACCTACCCACCCTCAACCTAGCCACCCTCACCTAGCTACCCTCAACTAGCCACCCTCAACCAGCCCACCTCAACCTAGCCACCTCACCAGCCTACCCTCAACCAGCCTCCCTGAACCTAGCCCACCTCAACCTATACACAAATAACCCCAATAGAAGAGAGGGCTTACGACGACGTTTTTGGCCGATTGGAGCATTACGAAGTCCACTAACGAGATGTAGCAGGACGGGTATATACAGCAGGAAGAGGTAGTTGTGGTGGGGGTGGTTGGGAGTATGGGTGGTAGTAGTAGTAGTAATGGTGGTAGTAGTAGTGGTGGTGGTGGTGATGGTAGTAGTAATGGTGGTGATAGTAGTTGTGGTGGTGGTGGTAGTAGTGGTGATGATGGTAGTAGTAGTGGCGGAGATGGAAGGAAGTAGTAATGGGGAAGAGAGGAGGAGTCAGTCAAATACAAAGAAAGGGGAGCACTGCAATGGAGCTAGGTGCCCACAGTGGAACTAGGTGCCCACAATGGAACTAGGTGCCCACAATGGAACTAGGTGCCCACAATGGAACTAGGTGCCCACAATGGAGCTAGGTGCCCACAATGGAGCTAGGTGCCCACAATGGAACTAGGTGCCCACAATGGAACTAGGTGCCCACAATGGAACTAGGTGCCCACAATGGAACTAGGTGCCCACAATGGAGCTAGGTGCCCACAGTGGAGCTAGGTGCCCACAATGGAGCTAGGTGCCCACAGTGGAGCTAGGTGCCCACAATGGAGCTAGGTGCCCACAAGGGAGCTAGGTGCCCACAGAGGGAGAGCAAGAACACAGAGTGGGGGGGGGAGTAATGAATTAACAGAAACACAAGACAGAAGAAAGAAAGACAACCCAGAAGAGAAAAAAGGGAAGAGGGAGAAGAAGAGTTAGAGGAGGAATCAGGTTAAGTCACGGGTGTTGTGAAGTTTGGAGCATCTTACAGTGTAGTGGGAGAGGAAGGCATCCACAGAGACGAAGCCACGACTAACATTCATACAGGGAAAGTTGTGTATTAGGGAGGATTCAACCAGACGCAACCCAACCTACCCTCAACCTAACCTACCCTCAACCTAATCTACCCTCAACCTAACCTACCCTCAACCTAACCTACCCTCAACCAAGCCCACCCTCAACCTAACCCACCCTCAACCTAACCCACCCTCAACCTAACCTACCCTCAACCCTGCCCACCCTCAACCTAACCTACCCTCAACCAAGCCCACCCTCAAACCCAACCCAATCTCAACCCA